CAGGAACAGACGACTGCTGACTTGTGTTGGCAAGCTGACAGCTTTCCTATACCATAGCTCATGGTAAATGTTACCCACTAGTTTTCCTGAAATTCGATCCGTCAATAATTTAACAACCAGGTATCTAATCACTGCTGGGTGAACAGAGGCGTACAGTTAAGAACTGGCACCTAGTCAATCCTTTCCGGCCAGGATACGAACCTGGCCATGAAGGGGAGAGGGGGGGGGGTGCGTGCGTGTACGCACTCGCACAATATCTAGCCTCTTAACTTAACCAGAGTCGTACGAACCCAAGCCACCCGCCTAACCTACCGAGTCTGACGCATAGACAAGTATGTATCTGTGAGCCGTTACTTTTCATAATAGGTTGTATTTGTAACGATGGTTACCATAACGTAAAAAAAAGACCTACCTCCCTACACCTTGTTTCATTACTTTTCACCAACTTTAATAGCCATTGCCACACCATTCTTCCAGTTTGTCCAGGTCAGCATGCAACCTCTTGTAATCTTCCTCTGTTTTAATCATTCTCATCATTTTTGTGCCATCAACAAACTTCGTGAGGAATGTGTAGTCCCTCTGGAAGAACATTTACTCATATCCTACCAGGAAGAGGATAGATCCAAGTACTGACCCCTGTGGGACTCCGCTGGTGATACCTCGCCACTCTGAGAGCTCACTCCTCCCAGTGACTCGCTGTCTTCTGTTGCTTAGGTGCTCCCTTATCCACTGAGACACCTTACCTGTCACTCCCGACTGCTTCTCCAGCTTGTGCACTAGTCTCACGTGTGGCTTGTGGGGTAAACCTTGTCATGGGCTGACCACTGCTGGTCTCTGGTTGGTCAATGATTAGCCACTGGCTGGTAGATGGCTTGCATCGACCAAGCCAAGCTGGTTGATGGCTTGCTGCTGGCTAGTCAATGGTCACTGGCTGGTCGCTGGCTGGTCGCTAGCTGGTCACTGGCAGGCCACTAGTTGATCACTAGCTGGTCAGTAACTGGTTGCTAGCTGGTCACTGGCTGATCACTGGCTGATCACTAACTGGTCACTAGCTGGTCGCTACCTTGTCACTAGCTGGTCGTTAGCTGGTCACTGGCTGGCCATTAGTAGATCACTAGCTGGTCAGTAACTGGTTGCTAGCTGGTCGCTGGCTGATCACTAACTGGTCACTAGCTGGTCGCTGGCTGGTCACTAGCTGGTCACTAGCTGGTCGCTAGTTGGTCACTGGTTGATCACTAGCTGGTCGCTGGTTGGTCACTAGCTGGTCACTAGCTGGTCATTAGCTGGTCGCTGGTTGGTCACTAGCTGGTCACTGGCTGGTCACTGGCTGGTCACTAGCTGGTCACTGGCTGGTCGCTGGCTGGTCGCTGGCTGATCACTAACTGGTCACTAGCTGGTCGTTAGCTGGTCACTGGCTGGTCATTAGTTGATCACTAGCTGGTCAGTAACTGGTTGCTAGCTGGTCGCTGGCTGATCACTAACTGGTCACTAGCTGGTCGCTGGATGGTCACTGGGCTTGTCGCTGGCTGGTCTCTGGTTGGTCGCTGACTGGTCGAAGGCTGATCACAGGTCAAGGAGGGGGGGGGGGGGAGGGAAGCGGGATTTTGTGATGATCCTGTGCGATGCTCCTTTTTACTGTTCATCCTTTTTTCTCACAATTTACTTTATTATCTTCCTATAATTCTTGCTCTCTTTTTTCTGTCTCTTTGCTGTCTGTCTGTCCACGCACCACCGTCAAGCAAGCGACTGTCTGCCTCGAAGCTCCAGCAACATTTTTTACGGAATTAACGAAATGAAATAAATTATTCAGAAGAAATTCTAATCTGGAATTCTGCAGAGAAATGTTGCAATATCTAAATGTACGCATGTGTGTGAGAATGTGCACATGTGCGTATTGCTACATCAGTGGATGTGCTCACGTGTGTATATACTCACCTAATTGTGCTTGCGGGGATTGAGCTCTGGCTCTTTGGTCCCGCCTCTCAACTGTCAATCAACTGGTGTACAGGTTCCTGAGCCTACTGGGCTCTATCATATCTACACTTGAAACTGTGTATGGAGTCAGCCTCCACCACATCACTGCCTAATGCATTCCATCTGTTAACTACTCTGACACTGAAATGTCTACATATACACATGTAGGTGAACTTTGTGGATTCGTATTCACATCTGTGTATAGTTGTGCAGGTAGACATAATGAAAGAATAATTCAATAAGTGGCTATTAATATTTAACTGAAGAAAGTGTAAAGTAATGAAGTTGGGTTCAGGGACCAGGAGGCCGAACACAAGGTATCAAATAAGAGAGGAAATCTGCCCTGAATCACGCAGGAACAAATATTTAGTTGTTGATGTCATGCCAAGTGTGTCACCAGAAGCCCCACACCAAACAGATATCTTAAGCTATATTTCCCAGGTTGGCAAACTTAAGAATTGGCAACAACGAGACCTTCATAATCTTGTAACTCACGTATGTCAGAACAGTTCTGAAATATTGAGCTCCAGCATGGAATCCTTTTCTTGTTAAAAAAACAAATTAATTTAGAGAAAATCTAACGATATCCGCAGACTAGTCACAGGTATCTTGATAAGTGTTCAGGTGGTGTGATAATGAGGTTGGTGTGTCTATCTAACCGTTTTACCCTGAGAACAGGCTTCTGGATAGTTATCTAGATATTTGTGATGGTCTGAAAGCATATGATGGGTTCCAATAATAGTCTACTTATAAGCTGGCAAATGAACTTTTGTCATTAACAAAGAATATTCTCAAGTTATAACCGTATTGTATTATAAATCGACGGTTTAAAATATATATAGTGTATAGTTAACTCCTTTTCTTTGATATGCGCTATATACACTGTGTATATATATATATATTTTATTAAATATGACCGAAAAAGTAAGATTAATAATTCTAACACGAATTTTCTCAATCTTTCGTACATTATGCTTCACTGTTGGAGGTAAATCAAAAATCACTTCTCCAAAATTCATTTTTATTTCTAGTCTGACGCGACACGGGCGCGTTTCGTAAAACTTATTACATTTTCAAAGACTTCACAAATACACAACTGATTAGAACTTGCGTTTCCCTGATTTTATATCTACATTTGAGTAAGGTGGGAAGGGTGATGTGGCATTACATTTGAGTGAGGTGGGAAGGATGATGTGGCATTAGAGGATATTAATAGGGTATTAAAGTATCAACACAAGACAGAACACGAAACAATGGATATTGAATAGAAGTGTTTGTAGAAAGCCTATTGGTCCATATTTCTTGATGCTTCTATATTGGAGCGGAGTCTTGAGGTGGGTAGAATATAGTTGTGCAATAATTGGCTGTTGATTGCTGGTGTTGACTTCTTGATGTGTAGTGCCTCGCAAACGTCAAGCCGCCTGCTATCGCTGTATCTATCGATGATTTCTGTGTTGTTTACTAGGATTTCTCTGGCGATGGTTTGGTTATGGGAAGAGATTATATGTTCCTTAATGGAGCCCTGTTGTTTATGCATCGTTAAACGCCTAGAAAGAGATGTTGTTGTCTTGCCTATATACTGGGTTTTTTTGGAGCTTACAGTCCCCAAGTGGGCATTTGAAGGCATAGACGACGTTAGTCTCTTTTAAAGCGTTCTGTTTCGTGTCTGGAGAGTTTCTCATGAGTAGGCTGGCCGTTTTTTCTGGTTTTATAGTAAATCGTCAGTTGTATCCTCTGATTTTTGTCTGTAGGGATAACGTTTCTATTAACAATATCTTTCAGGACCCTTTCCTCTGTTTTATGAGCTGTAAAACAGAGGAAAGGGTCCTGAAAGATATTGTTAATAGAAACGTTATCCCTACAGACAAAAATCAGAGGATACAACTGACGATTTACTATAAAACCAGAAAAACGGCCAGCCTACTCATGAGAAACTCTCCAGACACGAAACAGAACGCTTTAAAAGAGACTAACGTCGTCTATGCCTTCAAATGCCCACTTGGGGACTGCAAGCTCCAAAAAACCCAGTATATAGGCAAGACAACAACATCTCTTTCTAGGCGTTTAACGATGCATAAACAACAGGGCTCCATTAAGGAACATATAATCTCTTCCCATAACCAAACCATCGCCAGAGAAATCCTAGTAAACAACACAGAAATCATCGATAGATACAGCGATAGCAGGCGGCTTGACGTTTGCGAGGCACTACACATCAAGAAGTCAACACCAGCAATCAACAGCCAATTATTGCACAACTATATTCTACCCACCTCAAGACTCCGCTCCAATATAGAAGCATCAAGAATATGGACCAATAGGCTTTCTACAAACACTTCTATTCAATATCCATTGTTTCGTGTTCTGTCTTGTGTTGATACTTTTAATACCCTATTAATATCCTCTATGCCACATCATCCTTCCCACCTCACTCAAATGTAATGCCACATCACCCTTCCCACCTTACTCAAATGTAGATATAAAATCAGGGAAACGCAAGTTCTAATCAGTTGTGTATTTGTGAAGTCTTTGAAAATGTAATAAGTTTTACGAAACGCGCCCGTGTCGCGTCAGACTAGAAATAAAAATGAATTTTGGAGAAGTGATTTTTGATTTACCTCCAACAGTGAAGCATAATGTACGAAAGATTGAGAAAATTCGTGTTAGAATTATTAATCTTACTTTTTCGGTCATATTTAATAAAATATGTCTACAGGAAAGACTGCTACCAAAATATACTAATATATATATATATATATATATATATATATATATATATATGTATATATATATATATATATATATATATATATATATATATATATATATATATATATGTATATATATATATATATATATATATATATAAACTACTAAACAAATAAAATAATGTTTTGTAGTGATTACCACGTGGGTACAAATTCCTGAGGGCAGGTGGTGTGATCCAGGTGGTGCGAGTGAGGTTGACTTCTCCAGCTGATCACTTTACTCCGAGAACGGGTTCCGATATTTTGTTTATAAACGCCATGGCTGTGGACAAAACCATCTATTACTGTGAAATTGACTTTATGTTGGATCGCGTGACCCAACGTTCACAAAACACGAAGATTTGCTGCATTTGGTTCTACTCACTGATGGCTGGAGTGAAAGCCGCGTACTATACTTTGAGGTACTCTAGCGAGTACTTCATCACAGGTTGGGGTGCCACATGGCCTTCCCGGCTTGGTGCCTTCATTTGATTATTACTTACTTCATCACAGGTTGTGTCCCTGTTTCTCCATCACTTCCACCAACACGTCTTCCTCTCGACCCTCCTCCTCCAACACCACATGTACACGCTGAGGAGACAAGGGGGAATTATCTCGGAATAAGAGGCTATACAACATCTTCACAAAAGAACCAAGGTGGAGACCCGAGTAGTGAGATGGGAAGGTGTTGAGAAGATGACACAGAGATAATAGTCTCGCCACAAGAGAATATAAATCTGGAAGAAGTAGATGTGGCAAGATCAGCGGCGCAGCCTTAGCATCACCGTGGCTGCTGAAGCAGGCTGCAGCTAGCAGCCTACTTTTAGCAGGCTTCCTAACTTATGTTTAAAAGAAAAGTCATGCCTGGCAAACTTAATATAGTTCTATGACAACGTAACTAAAATACAACAGGAAAATGAAGGTTGGGCAGATTATAGTTTCCTGGAGTGTCAGAGTTCAGAGTGTCAGAAGGCATTTGATAATGTCCGTTATGAAAGGCTAGTACGTGTACTAAAGCAGCACCCTGGGAAGACAATGACATGAGTAAGGGAGTACCTGAAGAACAGAAAACAAAGACCCACACTAAAAGAAGGCTTTGATCTGGAGGGATGTAACAAGTGAGGTCCCCGAAGGCTCGGTACAAAGACCACTGCTGCGCCGGATGTATGGGAATGACCAACCCGAGGGCGCGAGCTGGTACATGAAAATGTTTGCTGACGATGCGGAAATAATGAGGAGTATAACACCGTGGAGGACTGAAGAAAGTTTCGGAACACTTTAAAACACTCCAGAAGTAATCAAACAGATGGTTGCAGGAATTAAATCTCACCAAATGCAACGTAAGAAAGATAGAAGAGAGAAAAGGGACAGGAGGAATTTGAAAGAGAAATTAAATTTGAGAGTGAATACAATTCCACCACTAACACCGGAATATCTTAGCCTGTACGGCTGGTCAACAAGGCGAATGATCTGAAAGAAGAAGCGGTGGAAGCCACCTCCATCCACAATTTTAAAGCTGCATTCGACAAAGAATTCCAACATTAGAATCATCAAATTCCAACACTACAAGTACAACAAGGTCAGCAGGCGGGGCATAAAGTGGTAGACTTCACCTCCCGTAGTCACTGATAGGTAAGTATCCTTCTCCTTGTGGTCACCTCCTCTTGGATCACCCGCCCCCCTCCTCTGCTCTTGACCCCCTCTTCATATTGACCCCACTATTCCTGTAGACCCCGCTCGTCTTCCTAAACAAACCCAAAAGAAACAACACAAACCCGTTGTCCTAGATAATTTTTTTTTACAGGTATTGAAGGTGTTTTGTGAAGCGGTGTCGCAAAGTGTGGGTGTGGGGGGGGTGTGGGGGGGTAGGAGAAGGTGTGCCCAGGTGGGGCTGAAGACACACGGTAATCACCACCTTCCAGAGGAGAGGAAAAAGTTGGGTACATGTAAAAAATGTGATCTTTAAGACGTTGATGACTATTGATCCCGCCACCTTCCAAGGGGAGGGGGAGGGGGGGGAGAGGAGGGGGGGGGGGAGGGGGAGGGGGAGGGGGAGGGGGAGGGGGGAGGGGGAGGGGGGAGGGGGGGGGGAGGGAGGGGTGAGTCCATGTTTGAGGTGATATTTCAGTCAGTGGAAGACACTTAGCGCGTCTCCTCCGCCAGTAATATATCAGGGAGCCACAGGTGGCTCATTCAGGCGGGACGGGGGCGTGTCCACGGAGGTAGTAATTCAATCGTATTGCCTTCACCTCTCTCATTAACTGACAAATGTTTCTCAGATATTGTATACTTACCTTCAGCAGGGAACACTTATGTTCAGCAGGGAACAGTTACCTTCAGCAAGGAACACTTATCTTCAGCAAGGAACAGTTACCTTCAGCAGGGAACAATTACCTTCAGTAAAGAACAATTACCTTCAGTAAAGAACAATTACCTTCAGCAAGGAACAATTACCTTCAGCAAGGAACAATTACCTTCAGTAAAGAACAATTACCTTCAGTAAAGAACAATTACCTTCAGCAAGGAACACTTACCTTCAGCAAGGAACACTTACCTTCAGCAAGGAACACTTACCTTCAGCAGGGAACAGTTACCTTCAGCAAGGAACACTTACCTTCAGCAAGGAACACTTACCTTCAGCAAGGAACACTTACCTTCAGCAAGGAACAGTTACCTTCAGCAAGGAACAATTACCTTCAGTAAGGAACAATTACCTTCAGCAAGGAACAATTACCTTCAGTAAAGAACAATTACCTTCAGCAAGGAACAATTACCTTCAGCAAGGAACAATTACCTTCAGTAAAGAACAATTACCTTCAGCAAGGAACAATTACCTTCAGTAAAGAACAATTACCTTCAGCAAGGAACAATTACCTTCAGTAAAGAACAATTACCTTCAGCAAGGAACAATTACCTTCAGTAAAGAACAATTACCTTCAGCAAGGAACAATTACCTTCAGTAAAGAACAATTACCTTCAGCAGGGAACAATTACCTTCAGCAAGGAACAATTACCTTCAGCAAAGAACAATTACCTTCAGTGAGTGACAATTACCTTCAGTTACGCAAGTTACAGTTATTTAATATGAATAATTATAAATTATTTATCCAAACCAGCTATAACAGGAATGTCTGTCGAAGGTTACAGGCCAGACCCTTGGGCTCACTTCTCCAAATTTTAAACTGTAATTGCTGGTGGGTACGTGCCCAACATGGTCGTCGGGTTGGGTGGTTGACGTGAATGATACGGACACCGCTGGGTATCCAACTACTAAATATAAACCTGAGCAAATTAATAAAATATAAATTAATGTAAAATTCTAAGGATACTCGGCAATTATTATCAATCCCAGTCACATGATAATGAGTTATTTCCAATGCTATTTATTAGTTATTATTTTGTTTGTCATTTACTGTTCAGCATATCACGCTGGTAGTGACTATACTTATAATACTTCAAATGGCTATACTTGTCATACTTATAATTATTTATTGCACTTAAAATAACATTATCCGTCATAATTATAACGACTGTACATGTCAAACTTATAAAGACTATACTGATACTTATGAGTGTTTTATTATACTGTACTTATGATTGTATTATACTTATTGTTTATTTTATTATACTTAATGGTTTTATAAGTATGAGTTTATTATAATTATAATGGTTTTATAAGTATGATTTTATTATAATTATAATGAGTGTATATGTATGATTTTATTATAATTTTAATGATTTTATATGTATGATTTTATTATAATTATAATGAGTGTATATGTATGATTTTATTATAATTATAATGATTTTATATGTATGATTTTATTATAATTTTAATGATTTTATATGTATGATTTTATTACAATTATAATGATTATATATGTATGATTTTATTATACTTATAATTGTATTATACTTTTTTTATTTTATTATACTTAATGATTTTGTAAGAATGATTTATTATAATTATAATGATTTTATAAGTATGATTTTATTATACTTATAATGATTGTATTATCATACTTATCATGACTATACTCATACTTATAATGGTTGTATTTATCACACTTATAATGACAGTACTTACCATATTTATAATGCCACTTCTAACCAGGTGTCCCCTGACTCTAGGCACTAACCAAGTGTCCCCTGACTCTAGGGCACTAACCAAGTGTCCCCTGACTCTAGGGCACTAACCAAGTGTCCCCTGACTCTAGGGCACTAACCAAGTGTCCCCTGACTCTAGGGCACTAACCAGGTGTCCCCTGACTCTAGGCACAAACCAAGTGTCCCCTGACTCTAGGGCACTAACCAGGTGTCCCCTGACGCTAGGCACTAACCAGGTGTCCCCTGACTCTAGGGCACTAACCAGGTGTCCCCTGACGCTAGGCACTAACCAGGTGTCCCCTGACTCTAGGGCACTAACCAGGTGTCCCCTGACGCTAGGCACTAACCAGGTGTCCCCTGACTCTAGGGCACTAACCAGGTGTCCCTGACGCTAGGCACTAACCAGGTGTCCCTCCCCCTACAGCTGGGGTGGCGTGTGGAGTGTGTCCCCCCCTCACCAACACCACGACGGTCACCGTCAGTGTTGTGGGGAATGTGACGCTGCTGTCGTGTAATAACCCTACCTTGGTGTTCCCCTCGAGTGACCGCGTCCTGCTGGACGTGTGTGTCGGCACCTCCTGGACAATTCCCCCTCCTCTCCCAGCGTGTATAACCCCATGTAAGTCCCTGCTTCCTCCGCTAACTCCCACAGTGTGGACACTCCCAGGTAAGTCCCTGCTTCCTCCGCTAACTCCCACAGTGTGGACACTCCCAGGTAAGTCCCTGCTTCCTCCGCTAACTCCCACAGTGTGGACACTCCCAGGTAAGTCCCTGCTTCCTCCGCTAACTCCCACAGTGTGGACACTCCCAGGTAAGTCCCTGCTTCCTCCGCTAACACCCACAGTGTGGACACTCCCAGGTAAGTCCCTGCTTCCTCCGCTAACACCCACAGTGTGGACACTCCCAGGTAAGTCCCTGCTTCCTCCGCTAACACCCACAGTGTGGACACTCCCAGGTAAGTCCCTGCTTCCTCCGCTAACTCCCACAGTGTGGACACTCCCAGGTAAGTCCCTGCTTCCTCCGCTAACACCCACAGTGTGGACACTCCCAGGTAAGTCCCTGCTTCCTCCGCCAGCTCTCCGCTGGAGGGGAATATTACCAATATTACATCACTCTGTGTAATGGGGGAAATATGAATATTTTAGTTTTGTAATCAACAATGAAAGATGACATTATCATTAGATTATTTGCCTTCAATAAAAGATTATTAGAACTTACTCACACACACACATGTACTCTGTCTGTCTGTCTGTCTGTTTGTCTGCCTCTCTCTCTCTCTCTCTCTCTCTCTCTCTCTCTCTCTCTCTCTCTCTCTCTCTCTCTCTATCTGATACTTCAGAGAACAAAACAACTGCCAGTAACTCCAGCCCATCTTCCAATGATGATAGTACGTATACCAACTAGTTGTTCAAAAGTACAAAAATAGACTGTTGTACAAGTCCCTGTGTATTGCTGAACTGCCCCAAATGGTCCACGAAAAATGGAAAAGTAACTAAAGTGCCAAATTAGACTATCCAAGGAATAAATAAGCAATCCTGGCCCTAATACACGCTGGCTTAGGCCTAATGTACTACACACATGCGATGTTCTAGGTCTAGGAATGTTTACCTTGGGTTCATGGCTACATTTTGTGGTGTTTAGCAAAAATATTGAACAAAACGTGAACATTGATGGTTTGCAACAGTGCATTGTTGTACGTTACTAATCCAACCACTCCCTCTCATGCACTAATCCAACCACTCACTCTCGTACACTAATCCAACCACTCCCTCTCGTGCACTAATCCAACCACTCCCTCTCATGCACTAATCCAACCACTCACTCTCGTACACTAATCCAACCACTCCCTCTCATGTACTAATCCAACTACTCCCTCTCATGCACTAATCCAACCTCTCACTCTCGTGCACTAATCCAACTCATACTCATACACTTATATAATCGCACTGGATGTATATATTTTCTAAATCAAAGCTTTACCAGTTTGAACCCATTGTTCAGCCTTCTCACTTGGGTTTATATATTTCGGATTACCTCCATACCACAGTGATAGATCCCGTTGCTCCAGACAGCAGTAGACCTCCCGTTGCTCCAGACAGCAGTAGATCCTCCCGTTGCTCCAGACAGCAGTAGATCCTCCCGTTGCTCCAGACAGCAGTAGATCCTCCCGTTGCTCCAGACAGCAGTAGATCCTCCCGTTGCTCCAGACAGCAGTAGATCCTCCCGTTGCTCCAGACAGCAGTAGATCCTCCCGTTGCTCCAGACAGCAGTAGATCCTCCTGTTGCTCCAGACAGCAGTATACCCTCCCGTTGCTCCAGACAACAGTAGGACCTCCCGTTGCTCCAGACAGCAATATACCCTCCCGTTGCTCCAGACAGCAGTATACCCTCCCGTTGCTCCAGACAGCAGTATACCCTCCCGTTGCTCCATACAACAGTAGGACCTCCCGTTGCTCCAGACAGCAGTAGACCTCCCGTTGCTCCAGTAGGACCTCCCGTTGCTCCAGACAGCAGTAGACCTCCCGTTGCTCCACCTCCCGTTGCTCCAGACAGCAGTAGGACCTCCCGTTGCTCCAGACAGCAGTAGACCTCCCGTTGCTCCAGACAGCAGTAGGACCTCCCGTTGCTCCAGACAGCAGTAGACCTCCCGTTGCTCCAGACAGCAGTAGGACCTCCCGTTGCTCCAGACAGCAGTAGACCTCCCGTTGCTCCAGACAGCAGTAGGACCTCCCGTTGCTCCAGACATCAGTAGGACCTCCCGTTGCTCCAGA